GATCCACCCATACCAGATCCACCCATACCAGATCCACCCATACCAGATCCCCCATATCAGATCCCCCATACCAGATCGCCCATACCAGATCCACCCATACCAGATCCACCCATACCTGATCCACCCATACCAGATCCCCCATATCAGATCCCCCATACCAGATCCCCCATTCCAGATCGCCCATACCAGATCCACCCATACCAGATCCACCCATACCAGATCCCCCATACCAGATCCCCCATACCAGATCCCCAATACCAGATCCACCCATACCAGATCCCTATACCAGATCGCCATACCAGATCCCCAATGCCAGATCGCCCATACCAGATCCCCCATACCAAATCCCCCCCATACCAGATCCCCCCATACCAGATCCCCCATACCAGATCCCTCATACCAGATCCCCCATACCAGATCCCCCATACAAGATCTCCCATACCAGATCCCCATTCCAGATCCCCCATACCAGATCCCCCATACCAGATCCCCATTTTAGGTGGCACTAGCCCTGTAGGGATTTCAGGTTGTAATAGGTCCCCGGCAACCTATGCAACTGATTAGATCAGGTGGTCCGGCTTGGTAACCTGGCTGCTTGTGTGTCACCATAACACGACATCATGGATCGTTGCTTGGTTTGTCTGGTCCAGACTCGATTACTTACAGGCCACTGACATATTGTTGGAATATTGCTGTGTGCAGTGTTTAACAATCAAACATATACATGGCTCTCACAACTAGTGGAGGTGATTGAAGGCCTCCATTGAGATTCCAGGTTAGAATTGCTCCCCAGCAACCTATGCTTGAGGCGACTTAATGGATGGACTCTGTGACATGGTGACTTGCATGTCACAGTACCCCGACAGGAAGAGTCGTTGCTCATAATAACAATCACTGGTTTGTCTGGTCCCGACTTACTTGTACACAGGCCATTGTGCAATGCTTGAATATTGATGAAGGGTGTTAAACAACAAACAAACAAACCCAGACAAGCTTGGGGACCTATTCTGACACACACTCCTCACTGGAGCGAGATTAGAAGAACTATTTAGACGTTTACAAGATGACTGTTAACAAAATAAGACGATTAAAACTTTCGAAAGAGAATCAGTGCTGTTTCAGGTACAAACTTATCTCAGACAGATTTCCAGATGAAGCAGCTTTGATGTAATCCAACTCAAGAGCATAGTCATCTCCATTGAGAAGAAAGTGGTCATGGGGTTCAAACATCTTTCATGTCTTCAAAGACATGTAGTGACATTTCAAACGAGGGTTATACACTCAAAAGACCTGCAAACATATACCATAGTTTATTAGAAACTACGCATGCACTTGCATCGCAGTGTCGCATTGCACAATTTTTTGCACATCAATTTCACCTGCGTCTGCATCACAGGAGCTGAACACACAGCAGAGCACTCAGGAGTATTTATGTCATAAAATCTTGAGTGCAATGCACAATACTAAGATGAAAGACAGAATTGCATCGTTTGATGATGGTGTGAAAAAAGACAAAATTGTATTTGCTTTGATATGTTTCATATATAACAGTTATACTCATCAGGTGTGCTTAAAGATAAAAATATTTTGAAAACACTTCAAAGAATTATCTTCTCTCCTTTTTCATTAATGTTCTGTTTCAAATTTCGCATAATGGTTAGGCATAAAACAAATAATTGTTAAAAAAAATTAAAAATTGCCTTTTTCATTGAGCTTAATGGCACATACATTGTGAGAAAAAAATGAAAATGTTTACCACAAGCCAGGAAATAAGTTGTTTCCAGATAGAGCTACTCAGAGTAATCGTAGCGTTGGCTCCCACATGTCATGTAGACTGAAGTTAAATGGCAAAATATTTATGTGTTTATATTTCAACCTGTTTTTGCATCATTATAGCTGTTAACCCCTCGATGTTTAGGAGGGGACTTACATTTAAGGTTGTTGAGTCGATTTGAGGATTTAATCAGCTTCAAAAAAGTCGAGTTTGCAGAAAATTGACCCCAATTTGCACATATATCAAGCATGTTGGTGTTACTCGAGACTACATTTTCATTTGCTGGATTTACAATGTGGCACCCTATATCTGGATATGGTTTAAGCGATCTGGTGGTATTATTGCAAATACAGAAGCTTCGCTATGTCAAAATTAATTTGTAATTAGTGATATGGTTTACCGTATGTGACAGCCGAATTTGATGCAAATCCCCAGAAGATGTCTGACTAATGTTGGGTGGGGCTGTGTTTAAGATCCTGCAGATGGGTTGTTGTTGTTTACAAGATGAATTTCATGCGTTATCGTATGTTTGTGTTGTCTCTCCACCATATGGTGAAGCAGTGTACCGCATCATCAGGACTTATGGGATAGATATTAAACTGGTTTTGTATACATACAAAGCTCCATGCGCCAATCAGATTAGCATCTTTACCAGCATGTGAAGATATACATGTGTTTTCTGGAGACTGTTCTACGTGATCCGAGAGGGATCTGACGCATTACCAAGATTCCCAGCTTAACCATCTTAGATTCACTTACTCACCTTCAGAAGACGTTATGGTACAAGTGTCCTGATTCACCAATGTGTCTGTGCAGCACGAAGTTAGATCTGATGATACTTACTTTTAAATCTACTTGTGTTATATTTTTGTGTCGATATGTAACACTACAGCTCTACTACTGTATTCAATGTAATAAGCGCCCCGCTCTAATAAGCGCCCATGGCGATATTTGCTAATATATTGGCTGGTGAACAATCCCAATTGGCACCCCTTCTGATTGATCAATGTACACTAGCCTTATTTATTTGTGTATAATACACACTCGTGTGTTATAAGCACCCTTAATTACAGGCAATTAAATTCTGGAAAAATATGTTTGTCGTGTATAATACGCACAGACTTTTCTTTTGTATCATTCGGGCTGTCAGCATAAACCACGAAATTTTCGATCTTTCAACTAAATTTTTCACCAAAATTATTTTCTAATAAGAGCCCCCTATTGCTAATTTTAAGAGCGCCCTGGGCGCTTATTCTGTCAAATATGGTATTTGGGGTTGCTTTATCTTACCGCATCATGAAACAATGCTCAATGTGATTGCATAAGACTAGATGAAGACTGAGTTAACCAGTTGCATGAGTTATCACAAACTGGTTGATCCTAATGACCATTTGTCATCCTCCTGACAGTCAGACTGAAACTAAGCAAAGTTATTATCACCATGGGTCATGTTGAAACTCAAGTATCCAATATGCAATGATGGGCATGTGGTGCCACGAAGTGTTTGGTGTTGTCTTTCATAGCACTAAACTTCCTTTTATACATGTATTTAGGCTTTTTCTGCAATATGGTAGGGCAATGTTATCACCTTCAATGTCAAAATATAATTGCTGGACCATCAGTCAGCTTTGGTAGGATGTGAACTGATGCAGCAATGGAAGACGACGTCCATGTAGATGGGATAGTAGAGTGGTTGAAGATTGTTATGAGCTGTTTTAGATGTAGTGTTTACTGGATCCAAAAAGGGCCTCTGAACGTGTAAAATGATATAATATCCACTAAAAGTTCCTTTGGATGCAAAAGAATATAGATTGAAACTAATTAATTTGAATCAAGTCCATTGGTACGACTTATCTGATGTTTCTGTTCGGATAAGAAATACATGTTTGGACAGGTCATTTCAGACTTGAAGAATTGTGAAAAAAAGAATTTTTTTAAAGTTTAAAATGTTGATTATATTTGTGTATTTTCATTTGAAACTACCATATTTTGCATCCTCTAGAAGAATCATGGCAAATTTGACAAGATCTTTGGAGGGTTGCCCTGAATGTGTTTTTGAGTATTTGATGTACATAAAATTGTCATTGGATTGACCCCTGTTGTTTTAAGTGTCCCCAAAAGAGACTTCAAAACACACTTACAGCAGAGCTAGTTGTGTAGCAGCACATGGGTTGCACAGAATCGGCTATCAAATCTCCAACATGCAGGTGGCCCCAAGCATGCGTTAATGTACAAAAAACATGAGATTTAAAGTTTGTTTAAATTTCATGGTTGGTTATATCTTGATACAACACTTGCACATAATGAGCAATTAACACAAACATCTTTCAAGCTGTACATACTTTCCATGTTAACAGACGTTAGGAACGAAGACAGGTTTGGTTTAATGGCTGTCACAATTTTTTTAGTTACTCTATATCTGTACACTTGTCATAATGCACATGCTCCCTGCTCTACCCTTTCAATGATATTGCTGTGAAAATACTGTGATAATGTTTTTCAAAAATATGTGACTCACTTACGAGTGCAGTGTCATACATAGGCATATATCCCATCTGCAGTGCCCCCCAAAATATATATTTACCCATGTCGTGAAGCATTAAGCTTGTGTGCACTCTACAACACTGATGTCTTCCTGGCTGCTACATAGAGTGGATGATAAGAACTAGTCTGGATTATTTTGGGCCTTTATCAATTAATTTTGCACTCAGTTTGTGCTCAAAAGGAAGTTTTGCTGAGTCAATCAGTACAGTCTCTGTTGACTTTATTTCAGCAATTTATTTTTGTAATTCTTGTAAATACATTATTTTCAAAAAATGATACAGCTAAGGTATTATGGTATGGAAAGTTGTTGTCAGGAAAGTTGTATCTGGTTCAGTGCTAGTTTCTGGACCACTTGTTTAAGGAATGATGGCATTGAGAACAGAATCTGCGTTGTTTTTTTTATTCATTCATTCATTCATTCATTCATTCATTCATGATGTAACAGATTTTGTATGCATGGGGGAATATAAGTTCTTCAAACAGATTGTCATTATTTTTCAGACAATTGATCATTGTTGTTTCAGAAAGGTTGTTATAGTGTCTTTTCAGCCAATTATAAACCAGGTTGTCTATGTTTTGTAGACATTTTATCATTGCTGTTGAGAAAGTTAATCACAATTTTTGTTCAGACAGTTTATTTTTGTGTTGTTGTTCAGAAAGTTTATCCTTGTTTTGTTTTCAGAACTAAGGGCGTCTGTGGAGTATACAATGGTACAATATGTAACAAGACTTTGGCCGGGCGCCGAGTATTCTACAACAACTCCCTGACCGATCTCCGGAACGACCCCGAGGCCATCGTCCGGGCTCTGTGGAAGGAAATGTTGGAGACTGGGCTGTTTGACCAGTCCTGCCAAGAACCGGCGGAGAAACTCATGTGTCACTATGCCTTCATGGACTGCGAGGAGAAGAATGGAGAAGTCGTATACAAGCCGATCTGCAGGTGAGTTGTGTCTTTAGCCCCTCGGGATCACTCACGCTGGTCATCAAAGGCAAGTCAAGCGGGGATTCACTGCCGGAATAGGTCCCCAGTATTTCATGCCTTTCATAAGTGCTGACTTTAATATGGTAAAGGGTGATCTGTCCAGTTACTTGGTTGATTGTGTGTCATCATACATCACAAGGGACTCATGCTATCAACCACTAGGATGTCTTGCCCTGAAATGAGTGCCTGGTGTGTCTGGTCCAGACTCAACACTATCAACCCCTGTTTGTCTTTTCAGTGCTCAATTATATTTTGCAGTCTGACAAAACATGACAGTGGCACAAAACTGTCTATCTCACACTCTGTCCGATGAGAGTCATTTTTAAATATTCAAAGTCCTTACTCCTCAATGCCACTGTTTGTTCTCCTTGTCAGGTACATAAATCTGACTGTAAAGGACAGTCTCGTAACATTTGGAAACAGAACCAAAACCCTTCATTTCAGCAATGAGTATGATGGAGTGTTTTTTCAGTTTTACATAAAACCACGTCATTAAATTTATCAAAATAATCAAAGGAGATAAAGGTGTTATTTTATTCCGTGAGAATATAAGTAAATCCAGTTTTGTCAATTAGACCCCTACTTGTCCCATGAAAGTTTTGATTAGACCTTTTGTAGGGCATTTCCAGGGTCAATCAATGGCATAATAGAAATCCTGGCAGCGAACACTGGAGGCATTGAGTGCTATAATGAAGCGTGAATATAAATACTATTATCTATTAAACATATTCCAACTTTCCAGTCAGCCAGACAGGGGAACCTTTTTCCCAAATATCCATTTCCGTGCAAAAATGATCTTGATATACATGAGAGGACAATTATCTACTGTCACTATATCAGTGAAACGTAAACACATGTAATTTGAGAAAACAGTAATCCTTGATTTTTTTCTCTCATTGGACGTATTCTAAGCCAGGTCATGACCTTCATGAACAAATTACAGTTTATAATTTCAAGTTATCACACGCTGGAGACTCACGGTCCATAAAGCATCCCTATCATGAACGTGAGATCAGAAACTATCACATACGTACACCGTCTCAACGTGAAGACATTTGTTTTTCACATTTGTTGTAACGTTTTGACAGGAAAGGATCGTTTTGATGAAGACGTGTTTGTTCAGTGTAAGGTCTATTTACATTTGATATAAATATTTCCAAAAATATGTGCTCCAAGTTCAGCTTCATTCAGACGATTTGATGATAATGAATGTTCTGTGATTGTGGTTTAGGTTTGTGAAAGTTTGTAGGAATTATATCAACAAGAAGTGAGAGAACTGCACTCAGGGCCCTGATGCTGGCACAACAATAAACAGACAAGCATGTTCTGTAGGGTAACATGAATGACTTTCATGATGTGCAGGAGACCCTAGTTTTGTAAATTGGCTCTTCATACATCTCCAGATATTTGTTTGGGATTCATTTGTAACCTGTGTTGAGGGTAAAATCTTGTTTGGATTTCAAATTTAATGGAAAACATGCCCTGTGAACGTTACTGATCAGCAGTTTTTGTGGGAATATGGCAAAACGTGGGAAAATATGTTCCAACACTTAAATGTTCCTTAATTGTTATTCGAAAATGGTATGTTGAACCGATTTGGTATGGGAGGGAGAAAATGAGTATTTATTGCTGGTATACAATACCAAAACTATGTTTTTCATGGTGGGCAATTTATGCTAAGGAATTGGTAAAGATTATGTGAACTTAAAAACCGTATTTATCAATTCTAAAACGATTTAAACTATTTTACAAGGTAATCCCTCTTCCTATTCTTGGGGAGTCTCTATAAACCTTTTTTGTGCCATATTTTTCTCATATTTTTTAGTTATTAATTGAAGACTTTAGGCATGATTTGGTTTTCAAAGTAGTTCCTGTTTACCTACCACATCACACTGGCTTCTCATTTTCTAGAACACGTTGATTCAGGAATCAAGTACCAGACTTGAAAATGGATAGGAAAGGAAAGGTTCCGTTACAGAATTAATAGAACATAAATATGAAAACAAATATGTTTTCCTGACACATCCGGCACTGGTAATTAGCCTGTCAATAAATCAACAACAGGTGGCTCCAGAATCTGGCTTATCTTCCTGGGTCTTGTGGCAAGGAATGCCAGGCAGATAAATATGGAGAGAGGACGATATAGGGCTGCTTTATTAATGATAAAAAAATCCTAAGTGGTGGATGAATAAAAGTTTTGAATATAAACAGTATAGAGACTAACCAAGGGTCCAGATTCATGTGTGTATCCCCTGTGTAAGGATTTCCGGCAGATTAAGTGTGCTGGTGTTTGTAATAACAGCTTGCCTGTCGTCCTGTGACAAGCACTATTTCATGTAGACCAGTCTCTACTGTGTAGTAATACACAGTGAAACCTCATTAATGCTTCCAGATGATCTTTCTGAGAATGCAAGATATAATAAATGGACATCACTTAAAACTGGTATTCATAAGTCGTAAATTGATTATGCAGATGATTTCTCTGGAAATCGTACCATATGGATTAATGAGATTTTGCAGTTTTCAAACACATAATTAGTGATAGAAAGTTGTAAGCGATCAGTATTTCAAATTCAATTTTGTTGTTGCCGATACATGTAACATGTTGTACATTCTGCTGGATAGTGGTATTGAAGAGCCACTCGTCTCTTTGTCTAGTTATGTATCTGAGATGTTATGAACACATGTGCATATGACACCCCATCCCAGCTGTCAAACAGCAAGATGAGGATGCTGACGCCAATTCCACTCTCTTTTTAAACATTTTCGGTTTATGATTTGCCCTACCAGAACCAAAAGCCACAGTAAGCACATAAATAAAAATAAAAAGAGTTTGAATATATATTCTTTTCCCAAATACTCAGTCTTTAAAGGATGAAAATATAAAAAGATACAGTGACAAAATCATATAAAATTAGAATGGCACTTTGTGTATGATAATTGATCAAATACATTGTATGATGTATCTGGCTATGACATTCCTCTTGTAAATGTACAAGACGTTAGCCTTCTTGGAAGTAAGTACATGTTTATATAAGTAAAGCAGTACAGCACCATGACTGTGGAATGTATTTTATGAAACCAAAACCAGACTAGATTATAAAAAAGCATTCTACCAGCTCTTTTCCATTATTAAATCAGCATCAGGAATGTGTTTTTTTACAGTGTCGAGAGAAATGTCTTGTGTAATAAAAGATTTCATAGACTGTGTTTGTCTAAAGTTACTGAAAAAACACTAAACATCCTGCACTTTCACTCCCAATTTAGGATTAAAAAAGCAAATTCTATTTAAAAAGTTTGATCCTGTTTTTTTTTAAAAAGTACTGTCTGTTATCAAAACTTGGCGATAAGGTATCACCTTTGACAGTTACAAAGAAAAGCTTTCAAAAATGGTTTTGACACTAATGTGAACTCCCTACAAAACTATCTTACATATGGTGGCCATCTTTATATCTTAGCAAATGTTGAAAACTTGCCAGTTTTCGAGCAAACAGCTTTTCATAACATACATGTAGTATATTTGTTGTAGGTTCTGAAGTGACTTTTGTTTTCATGACTAATGTTAATCTTAGAAGAGGGTGAACTTTGTTAGGTGCACAATTTAATTTTCTTGACATTTTGAATTTGTTGTTAACAAGTCATGAACCCAGGTGGTGTCAGGAGTTTATAGCCTATAAGGCCAATAGTTGACATTGTACACCTTAAAATGTTGCTTTCATTATCAAATACAAGCAGTCTAGGGAGGGGGCACTTTGCCTTGAAACCTTATAGTCCATTGTTTGATTACAAACAGTGATGAAGTAAACATTTGGTCTTTGGCACCTTTGAACTTGTGGGAAAACCAAAAATGAAGAGACAGTTTTGTATTAGGTACCACCATTTTCTTGACTGTATCTGATAGGGATTCAAGACATGAATCTTGCAGTTAATTTTTGAAATTGATAAATTTGAAATTTGGTTTCAGGACGTTTTTACTTAGAGTTTTGTTTGAAACAAAAATTTGGAATTTAGGTTTCCTATTTTGAATGGGGTTCTTGCTATAATATGGCATATGTATATTGACATGTTTATATAGGTTTTAATGGATTTTTTTGTAAAGGTTGCATGGATTTTGATTGAAATTAAAACCTGATACATTGTCTTTACTGTCATAGTCTTTTTGGATGTAGTCTTGAGAAAAGATTAAATTCTTCAAGTCGTTGCCCATGTTCATTTCCAGAGAAAAAATGTCAAGTGTATTCTTAAGACGAAAAAAAGGATAAAAAAACAACCCAGTCCTCTGTGTCTGAATGTGAATAAAACCAGGCAAGTTTTTTCTGCTAGGGGTTGTTTTCTTTCAGTTGTGAGAAACCTAATGCTGTGGAAGGGCACCCAGACTTGGCAAAAAGTTCTCTACAATCACTCTCAGCTCAAAAAATGTCCACTGAGACTTTTTTATGTGTTGAAGTTGTGTGTTGCTGTTGTGTAATGTTATGAGTAGTGATTGTTCCATCTAGGGAAAGAGTTCATGATATGTATTATTAATGCTTGTCAAAGATATTACAGTTCACTAATTGGAACTCTTGATGTTGCTCAGCAATATTCATTATCGCCCTTGACATAAAAAATATTATTTTGGGGTGACTTGAACACTTTGAGGTTTCTTGTTAAACAGAAAAAGGTGCATTTTATGCCCCTGTAGGCTAAGGCACTGCAGTTTGTTGTACTGCAGTTTGTTGTGCAGAGTTGCATCCCTTTGTTGTGCCAGGATTCTCTGATCTTGGGTCTCTTATTTCAGATTCCCCCTGACTATGTCCCTTGGTTTTTAAGGATCATGCTGATTGGTCTCACTATCTAACTGTCGTGATAATCCTCTATGACCTTTATCAATTCAGGTTTTCCTCCCATATTAATCTGACACAGTATCGTGATTCAACTGAAATACTGTTCAAAGCTGGTTTTATCTCATTTCATTAGAATTGTCAAAAAAGAGTAAGTTTCTAGCTTTGACCATGAGGTAACTAATGTTTCAATGAAATAAACTGATCATTTTTTAAAAAATGAAATAAGCAATTATGGAAATCAGTTTCCTAAATATTTTCATGGAGGAAAAAAATATAGTCAGTTGTTAAGCGAAAAATATTTATGTAACCATTTTGTAACCTTGAGTTTAACCATAACATTATGATAGGCAAACTAGCAAATAAATTAATATGGTTGTGCCCTTTAGTAAAATATTGTGATTATCATATTAATAAGGCATTACGAACCAAGGTCAACTCTGACATAAGTATCACAATCATCATCAATGTTGACAGCAATGTCGGATACCAGAAAAACAGGAATGTATGCCAACAATGTTTTGAGTGAAAGGTGTGTCCATTGCAAGCCTGCTGCGACAGGTCATAGTTGTGCATTTTACCATCGGCATGATTACCCTTGTCATTGATGTGGTATTTAGCAAAAGGTCATATTGGGACATAGCTACGGCAGCTATATGTCGGTGTAACCTGTACTGTGGTTATGCTCCGTCGATCTTCATGATGGAACTTGTGTAGGAATGGATGAGGTTGAGTCAAATTGAAGCATGTTACCATGGTTACTACAGTTGTCACATCTTTAAAATTTGTGAATCTTTTATAGTTTGGTTACTGTAAACATCAGGGCGTTGAAAATGAAAATCTTTAATGTATATAAGAGATATTTGAATATTTTCTGACTTATTTAATTTCAAAGGGCTGCAATTATTATGATGATTTGTGAATGATTTTTGGTAGGCAACCATTGCCATTTGACCATCTTTAAGGGCTTCCATGACAAATAGTACTGTTTTAATGGCTTGGCCCTCTTCAAACATTAAAGTTTGTTGGAAGCTTCTATTTTGGGGAACAGACAGACTTTTAGATTCATATCACGTTTTGTGGCCCAAATTTCATGTGAATACTTTGACAGAACTCCTGCTGTCTTGTGCGTCCATGTTGAGAGAAACAGTTGCGTAGGAGGTAATGCAATATGTTAAAATAACGGGAACATCATCAGAACTAATGTTATTCTGATTATTTGGGTATGTCACCAGAAGGGGAGAGTTGGAACGCGGAAAAGTTAAAAAATTCAATTATAACACTGTCTCGGATTACAGTGACAAGCAATGTTTCAAAACAGCAGGGCGATGAAGTTTCCTACTAGCAGGTGTCTTACTGAAATCTTATGTTTTTCGGGACTTGGATCTTTTAAATCATTAGCTGACAATTAAGCTATATGTTTGATATCAAAGACACTCAGGTGAGATTATGTATTAACCCAAAGGTCGTGAATGTTTAATAACAATGATGAGTAAAAAAAAAATGCTTTAGAATGTTTTTCAAATATATGTTAACAAATGTTAACAGTTACAATTACTGTGTACATTGCTGAAATATAATATTGCAGGGACAGTAATGGAACTACTACTTCATTGGGGGATGTAACATGGTGCAAGGAATCAGTCTCAGCCTATAGACAGCCATTTCTCTCCATTTACAGTCCTAACTTTAATCAATGGCTACCCTATGAAACAAATGATCCTTTTCATCTTTTAATACATGTCATCTCAGCCTTAAGAATTGGTTAATGGTTCTAAGGCAGTGATTTCTTCAGTCAGTAGGGTTTATGGTCCAAGAGAAGAAACTATAATCATGCTTTAATTGGTTCGTTCTTTATTACTGCATTCTAAGATCAAATTTCAATTTCTGGAATAAAGTTTATTGGAAAATTTAAGGATGTGTAAACCTGTTCTTCATTACTGGTGAGGAAACGAGTCACCATGCTGGAAATATAATTCTAATTTTATCCCATATATAGGAAATGTAAAATGTCTGTGAGGGTTCCCTAATGTGTAGGAAGTGGTCTTTAATGTGTAGGAAGTGGCAATTTAAAACCTTTAGTTTTTTTAAGATGATAAATTTTAATTGAGGATAATGTATGAATCATCAAAGTATTTTTTTATAATTGCCTTCAAATCAAACAACAATTCAGCAATTTGCAAAATAGCCATTTTCACAAAGAAAGTACGCTGAGTATTTTGTTACATCAGACACTTTGTGAAGAACATATACTATATGTTGTATACTTTCTAAAATGGCTGATCCTCCAATTGCTACTATTTGCTGACAACTTGTTATATCTCCATGCTATCCTCCTACAACTACTGTTCATTGTTTCTCCACATAAAACAAGTCTGAAACAGCAATTGACATGTCTTATCTCTGCTTCTGAATGTATCTGATAAGTCGGTGGGTTTGTTTTTTCTTTGAAATGGAAGCTTATCTATTTATTGGGAAAGATTCTGTTTCTGGCCTATGTCAACAGAAGAGCGTAAGATCCCGCCTTCACAACATGCACTGTCAAAACAAAATGGCAAGATAGGCCCAGCCTCTCCTCCGTGCTCTGACAAGACACAGTGACAGTGTTTGTTAGTCCTGATATTGGGAAGCACTTGTATGTCGTGATAAGGAAATTTAAAGTTTCAATTTTGGTCTAAACGTATCATTAGAAAGGGGTTTTATTTTTCAATCCAAAAACATGTTAATTAGTGATTGATCAAGTTTCTGCTGATTCTGGACTAAAGCCATGACCCTCTATCATGGTCCAACGTTCCAACATCTGTTGCAGGCTTGTCAGTTTTAACATGAGGAAGGAGGCCTTTCGTTTAGATGAATCAATTTGCCTTGTCAACTTCTTAAATAGTGTCAACTACTGGTCTTATTCTTGGTGTGAGTGGTCTTCTTCGTCATCGTCGCTGTCGTTATTATTATTATCATCATCATCATCATCATCATCATCATCATCATCATCATCATCATTATTATCTTAATCTCAATGCAATGCCCAGTTCTCCCTCATCAATGCCAGGACCTCATATCTACCTATTCAGTAGAAATTTGAAGCTAAAAAGACATCAAGTGACACATTTCAGTGGTTTGAACATTGAACAAAATTAACCTCCAACCCTATTTACGTTGCAGGGAAAGTTGTCTGGCTGTGAAGGATCTGTTCTGCTACCAGCAATGGACAACCATTGATGAGAACAAAAAGAAGGACATTTTCTTCAAGGAGAGAGGCTATTTCCGTCTCCCAAACTGTAGCCTGCTGCCCAGCAAGTTCAAGGGCAGCTGTACCAAGGCCAATCTGTTTGAGAGAGAACCTCATGAAGTCACAAGTAAGTTACTCAATACAAGCAGCACTGTTACTGTTAAAGCAACAATATGAAGTAGTTCTTGCAAAGGTGGACTGCCTCTGTGGTCTAGTGGATAGGGGATGTGCCAGGAGAGCTGATGGTTGGTGGTTCTGTCCCAGATGCATTTTACCAAAAGATGTTAAAAGATAGTGCTTGATGCTACCCTGCCTGGTGTTTGGCAATAAGGGGATAAAACAAGGACTAGTTGGCTATAAGTCAGTATACTGTGTCTGAGTGGGGTATGCATGTTAAACTGCAGCATGGTATCTCAGTGGGCAAGCACTATAAATATGGCATTAGTCCGGACAAGCACAAGCAGATGCAGACGCAGACACATGTATACGCAACATTAAACCCCATTTCACCTCACCTCATCATGCTTAAGGTCTAGATTCGATTTCTGACGAGGGAACAAGCAGCCACAGATACTAACACACAAAAGACTTGCATGCACGTACGCATGCACACACACTCAAACTGCAGCATGGTATCTCTGTGAGTTAGCCCTATAAAACCGTCATTTGTCCGCCGGACTAGTACGAGCAGCCACACACACACATTTGCATGCATGTTGCTATATATATGCAATAATCTTGAACACAATGTTAAACCCCATTTTACCCACCACTTGTGTTAAACTTGATAAACTCTTGGCATGGAAGGATAGTTACCGTATTCGACGTAATAAGCGCCCAAGGCGCTCTCAAAATTAGAAATAGGGGGCTCTTATGAGAATATAATTTTGGTGAAAGAGTCGAAAGATCTTAAATTTTATGGTTTCTGCTAACAGCCTAAAATGATACAAAAGAAAAGTCTGTGCGTATTATACACGACAGATTTTTTACAGAATTTAATTGCCCGTAAATAAGGGTGCATATATAGCACATGAGTGCCTATTATACACGAATAAATGTACACGAATTGTGTACATTGATTAGTCGGAAGAGCGCTAATTTGGATTGTTCACTAGCCAAATATTGGCAAATATCGCCGTGGGCGCTTATTAGAGCTGGGCGCTTAATACGGTAATATGTCCTTGATGTGGAAGTCTCACATGAGCCACCATTTCGACTTAGAGAAGCCATAACTGGTAATACAGATGTCAAAATACATCCCCGTATGGCCAGCAAGGCTGCAACTGTGTCAGTATGTTGGCACAGAAGCTGCAACTGTCTGTGTATTGGGTGTGTAAAGTGGGCAAACACTCATAAACTAACATGATCCATGCAGGTACATTGGTGGAGCACTTCTCATGGAGTAGATATACTCGCCCCTCTTCACAAACCTGTCAAGCATTAATCACATCTGAATGGGAGGCAAACCAATTTGCACCAATACTGTAGAAACAGAAGCGTACTCCCCAAACCTCGGCAGTGAACCGAGTGGGTGGCCCCCAACGTGAGACAATCTTTGTGGACCAGATGCCTTAGTAGGGGTAAGGTTACGGGGGTTATATCATCGGGTGTGGTCATGGCTCGGGTCAGGTCAGGAGATCTGGCTTTGGTCAAATTTCAGGTGTAACTCAAGTGAGACAACTTATTTTGGGTTACTGTGGGCCATGGTGACTTTATCATGGATGATGTATTAGTGAGCTACCTGTAATTGGCCCAGGACATACTTATCTACACATGGAGGACCCTGTGGTGTTTCCAAGTTTTCCCTGATATTTCTAATGGGTACAAAGACTTGCATTACTTAGGGCTTTTATCCCACACCATGCTAGAACTGCAATAGGGCGGTGGGGTAGCCTAGTGGTTAAAGTGTTCGCTTGTCACGCCAAAGATCCGGGTTCGATTCCCTACATGGATACAACATGTGAAGCCCATTTCTGGTGTCTCCCGTGTGATATTGCTTGAATATTGCTTATACCACACTCTCACTCACCCCTCACTTACTCCTCAAGACTGTGGTTTCTGTCCAGGCGTCCGAAATTTTTTAAATCCCAATCGGACATTTGCATTTAGGCCACGCCCCCTTCAAATAGCGTATTTTAGTACGACTTTTCACACACATTACAAGTTGTTACGTATTCATAATATGATGAATTTTGAATAGTTTAAATTTAAATAATTTAATTCGCCGGACAATTTATAACAAATAATATTATTTTAAAATTACAAGGACACAAATAACCTCAACACAGACCTAAGCGTGTCAGCCCAGACCTATGTCAACATCATGGTTCAACATTAACAATAGCTGAGAGGGAAAGGTACCAAGTGCCATCATGTCACACATGTGACCAATATGTCCACAAACCAGAAACAGACCAGTTATATGCTCTTGGCAGGGGGAGGTAGTATTGGTATAGTTCTGGCGCAACACTGGGTTCAACAAAACAAGTTCAGCACTACAACTGTCTTAAATCTTAAGTATGGATCGTTGTGCTATTATCACTCTGTGGAACAGGGCCCTGTATATTATGTCAGAGAATACGTAACAGAAGGAGTGAAACAGCCATAGCACTGAATTTGCTTTGAAGAAATTCTTTAAATACACTGTTCGATGAATGCTGCCTAGCTAGCTCATTTCTGGAGCAAATAAGTAGTTTACCAATTGTTCCATCGGTGGTTCAGCTAACCAGTATTGCCTCTGTGGTGTAGTGGATGGAGCATCTTCCTGGTGAGGGGAAGGTTGATGGTTCAGTCCTTGCCACATCAAAGCAAAAGATGTTCAAAGATGGTAGCTTTTAAGGGATAAAAGAAGGACTGGTTGGCTTGGAGTGGGAGTGTCTGAGTGGGGTATGCATGTTAAACTGCGGCATGGTATCTCAGCAGGCTAGCACTATAAATCTGACATTAGTTTGGACTAGCACAAGCAGATGCAGACACACATACACACAACGTTAAATACCATTTCACCTCACCTCATCATGCTGAAGGGGCGGTCGGGTAGCCCAGTGGTTAAAGCGTTCGCTCGTCACACCAAAGATGCAGGTTTGATTCCCGACATGGGTACAGTGATATTGATATTGCTGGAATATTGCTAAAAGCAGGGTAAAAGCATACTAACTCACTCACAAATCATGATTCGATTTTATGACACGGGAACAGGCAGCCACAGACACTCACTCACACACAACAAAAGACTTGCATGCACACACACGCACGCACGCACGCACGCACGCACACGCACACGCACACACACACACACACACACACACACAGGGTGTATAGCTGCAATAATCTTGAATATGATATTAAACTCCATTTCAGCTCACCTCAGCTAACCAGTGTGTGATGTTCTGTTCTAGGTGACTGCTATGTGGGTTCTGGTCAGTGGTACAATGGGACGGTCAACACAACAATATCCGGCGCCACTTGCCAGCACTGGTCAATGAACTCACCCCAGAAGCACCAGCGTCCTCCTGAAGTTTTCGTGTCGTTGGAGAACTCGGAGAACTACTGTCGGAACCCAGGTTCCGAGGAGGCCCAGCCATGGTGCTACACAACGGACAAGTTCAAGAGATGGGAGTTTTGTGACATACCCAAGTGTGTTCGATATGGTAGGTTGAGGACATTTAAGGAGGAACTTTGTTCCACTGTCCCTTCTAGCTTTTAGTCTAGGTCTTGATTCTCTGTGTTTAGCTCACATTCCAATCTGTGACACAACTAGGAGTTAGACAGTAGCCATTTTGTTCTTTACCACATAATCATCGAATGGAGCAGAAAATATAGTATTAGGGTAATCATTAATTGCTTTGAAGTCTTGAACTAACTTGCTACATCTACCAGACCTGTTGCAATTTTAAAACCGGATATATCTGCAGAACAGAAGGGAAATAGTAAGAAGCAAGAACCTGTTGTCTAAGGCACCGCATTACACTGTGCAGAATTGCATCCCTTGGGGATAATTATGGGTTTGAGTCCAGGGACCACTTGCACAAAGCGATCTTAGCGCTAAGACTATTGTATGCCTATGTTAATGTATGGGAGTTACAATCATCTTAGCGCTAAGATTGCTTTGTGCAAGTGGGCCCTGGTTGGCACCGATTATGTTTTTAGTTTCATCAGCACCATACTGGTGCACGTTGGTTTCACCGAAGTGGTAAACGTCTGAGACCTGCATTACTTTGGCTTTCCTCCCACATTAAGCTGCCACAACGTGACATTACCAAAATACTGTTCAAGGCGGCATTAAACCCAGTTCACTCACTTACAAGCAAGAAATGTTTTGAGTTAACATTTTTTCTGCCCATCGCTCTTGAACCGTTAAACAATGTCTTTACAGTGAGTGAAGATTTTAGGATTATTTTCTTTGAGAAAGTGATATAAATACACACATTCCTATTGATTACTTGGTTTTTACTGAATAACTAAATATAGATATGATAGACCATCAGCTTTCTTCTTTGAATAGCACTCCTGAAAAGAAACAACCCATGATTGATAGCCCCTGCTTGATATCACTGGTATATTGCAACAAGCTTTGAATAAAATATATCCGACTTACAATTAAGTAACATTTGTGTTATAAGAAGAAGTTTCCGAACTCCGGCATGTAATCAGTATTACATACATACTACTCAACATTTGTTTAGGACCAAAATAGTCATTTTCAGTCAATGATGTGGTCTTTAGCAGATGCTGTGTTGTGCATAACAGATCATCCAGAACTATTGGAGGTCTTTATCGAAATGATGTTGATGAATGTTTGTATACTTCAGAAAACAAAACGTCATCTTTGGATAATTTGGAGGAAGAGCCAAAGTTCACCTTCCTGGCCATCTTCATCATCACCATCGTCTCGTCCGTGGGCATCCTGGTCCTGGCGCTGATTGTGGGGCTCTGCTTCAACATGTTGATCCAGAACCATCACATCAAGTACAATGCCACGCCCCAGGAGGACCTTGACATTGACATTGAGAAACTGCCGCCCAACATGTCCTACCATTTGATGAAGGAGAAGAACCGACTCAACCCCAAACTAGAAAGTCTCGAGTATCCGCGCAACGACATCATATATATCCGTGATATAGGACAGGGAGCCTTTGGTCGTGTGTTTAAGGCTAAGGTGCCTAATTTGTTAGAAAATGAAGACTGCACATTGGTTGGTGTTAAAATGCTTAAAGAAGACGCATCAGAGGACCTTCAGGCTGATTTCGAACGCGAAGCATCTTTGATGGCGGAGTTTAGCCATCCCAACATTGTGAAACTTTTGGGGGTGTGCGCTATCGGCAAGCCGATGTGTTTGTTGTTTGAGTACATGAGTAAAGGCGATCTGAATGAGTTTTTAAGACTGTGCAGTCCCGAGCACTTCATCACTCAGTCTCGCTCTCTGACAGACTGCCAGGAAATGGCCAATCTGGACACAGCTGACCAGTTGTACATCTCCACCCAGATAGCGGCTGGGATGGTGTATTTATCTCAGAAAGGGTACGTTCATCGGGATCTTGCCACTAGAAATTGTCTCGTGAGTGATAATTTGATTGTGAAAATTTCAGATTTCGGGTTGGCGAGGAGTGTTCATAGTGTTGACTATTACAAGGGCAGCGACAATGACGCTATTCCTATCCGATGGATGCCGTTGGAGGCTATTCTTTATAACAAATTCACTGTGGAGTCGGATGTGTGGTCATTCGGTGTTGTACTGTGGGAGATTTTTTCATTTGCGTTACAGCCGTACTACGGCATGACCCATGAAGAAGTGGTGAAATATGTTAAGGATGGGAAAATCCTCGCTCAGCCCGAAAGTACTCCTGTCCCTGTTTATGAGTTAATTAAAAATTGTTGGAATAAAAAACCATCAAGTCGCCCCTCATTCCAATCGCTTCACAAATCTGTATGTTCCTTTTATGAAGAGTGCTCAAAAAAGAAAAACTTGAAAGTGTCGGTCTGAGGTTTGTGATGGAGGGTAACCATCACAGACTTTATCTCAATCACGATTGATGTGATTTGGACTCGAGGAATACGTCATCATTATTCCCAACAGAGAACTAAGACTCACTTTGACCTTTGACCAATCTCATGAAGACATATCATTTTTCCAGCGCTTCATCGAATCATATATATAATTTTCATATTTCCCAGACGACGTTACCATGTTACCATGTGATTTATAAGGAGTGTTTGTTCTCTGGATCCTGACAAGTTGGACAAGAAATGAACATTACATTCAAATATTCATATATGGCACCTCAACCGACGACAACTTTGACAGCTTGTGATATTTCATATAGAGATATTGCGGCTTAATGGCATTTTAACTATGAATACAATGGCTGAACATTGAAATTACAACAAAATCTCACATTTTAAAGGAATACCTACATATCTTTACACATATTTTTCTCTAAGTTTCTTTTTATGGTAATCCCAGATTGACATAAAATGGCTGTCAAATTTCATCTTTTGCCAAAGCATAATAATTGTCTTGAGAAATGAACTTGTGAACATAAAAGGCTTTGTAGAGTGATGAAATATGGAAAAAAGTTAAATGCAAAGCAAATTTAGACTGCCATTTATTAAAGTTTGGAAGAAACTGAAAGGTGGGCTAATGCATCTACAACAGCTGAGCAACATGGAGAATCTAGAGAATGTGATTGGTTGATTCAAATCCCATGTGACCAATAAGGAAGATTTGGTGAAATTTGATTAGCTGCACTATCTCCTCTTCCCAAGGAAAGGAAGTCTGCAGCAAATCTTGCTGTGGTTGCTGAGTATTTTAACTGACCAATGAGATATCTGCAGCCTTGTGTTTGGTTGTAAGATATTAGAACTGACCAATGAGGAAGCTATATTTGCCAGGGTGATATCCGAGACAGTGACTCTCTACTAATGAATTGTGATTTTGTACAGATTGTTATTAATGTTGTGCCTATCCGTGTGGAACCGCCTTGGAGTCCATTTTGTATTAGTTCAAGGTCAACAACTAATGATACCAAATATGGCGATTTCTGTCAGTTGATGAAAATGGGAAGAGGAAGAAACAAGGTCTTTTATTTGGATACAGAAAACATATTTTTGACAATTGGTATTTCTTGTATGTTACCATGACATCAGTAGAACTATAAAGACAGGGTTGGACCAAAGTTGCATTTATGGTACCAAACTTCCTTGGCTTTGGTGTATAAACTGGTTGTTCTCAAGAAACATCTTATATTTACATTTTCAGTGCTAAATAAGATCAAAATTCAATTATGTTCATTTCATTATTTTGATTGCAGACATAATCAGATCATATCCTGTTGTTAAAATAAAACACATATATAAAAAATAAAGTTTTTAGGTTTTATTTACATGACAAGAAATAATTCCTCAAAGAAACAGAGAGCCAGATCTGTGATCCAAGTAATATGAAAAGTTTGTTTTTAGAAAAGACTAGAAACAGGCTATATTCATCTTAAAATCACTGGGTGAAGTGTTTCAGCCAACTATTGGACCTTGCGTTTATTAGATAAAGAATCAGGACTAATCACTTTACACAATAAAGAAATTTCATTTTGGGCATCATTTTGAACAAAGCATCGACCATGCTTTGGTGAGAATTCATTGTTATCCATAATAGTTAAAAAATATTAAGAAAATTGTTAACACTTGAATTGTGACATTTTATTTCCTTTTATTTAATTTTCTTTTCAATATTAAAATGTAACAATATTCAGTCATCTTGGTTCCTAGTATCTTTGGCACTAGTAATGCATCCTCTTTCAACCCTTTCCTTCAGTCTGCAAGCTGCATTGAGACAGTCTTGTGGTGATGGATATCTGTTTTGACTATGTCAGAACAAACGATACCCAACACCCTTGGGATACTCAACAACCTCGATACTCAACACCCTCACTATTGTGTCACATTGGTCATCAGTTTTTTTTAATATATTAACGTATCACAACAATTATAGAAACTAATAAGGTCAAGGTCAAGGTCAAGGTCAAAGATACTTATTTTGCCAATGGAGACTTTCAGCAATGAAACTCAACATTGCCTGTTTAGGTTATTGTGTAAATAGGAAATATTGGTGCTCAACCCTGTCTTTAATTACGATCTACAGACCATGAATTTCAAATTCTCAAGATTTAGTTACATTGTCATGTGAAAAAATAATATGCTGCAAAAAGAACTGGATCATAAGCAGTTGCCTGTACTCCAAAAGATTCCATTTCTGTCACCATGGTAACAAATCTTCCCAATTTCCAGCAGTAATGATTGCTCCCTAGATTTTTGTGTCCACGTTGTTTCCACGACGATATGTGCATGTGCAACAGCTGTACAATAGCCGCAGTTAGTATTGCCTTCGTTATTTATTATTTGTATATGAACTTAGTGCTGACTTTGAGGACAAATTTGTGTTCAGTTCATGTGTCCTAAAATACATTTGAAGAGATGGACCTCTAGATGCCAGCCTTATTGTGAGAGCTGTAGACCTGTGTTAGTTGTATTGTCACGTATGTTGTGTTCACTTAAACATACCTGTAATGTTTGGTATTACTTAATTAAACCAATATACACTTAACAACTGTCTTCTTGTGCTTGCCACACGGCTTTATATTGTACTGTCATGTAACAGTAGGACCTTTTCGTGCTCTCATGCAAGGTATATACAATTTTGAGATTTTCTAGTTTTTATTGTGTCCGTTGTTGACAGGTTTTTAGATTTGATGTATAACTTATGCAAGTCACAGTATGACTGAAATATTGCTGATGTGACTCACTCTTGTGCTTGTTGGGGTGCAGGCGACCATGGTTCAATTCTCTGCATGGTACAATGTGTGAACCCATATCTGTCATCCCCTGCTGTGATTTGCTGGAATATTGCTAAAAAAAGACTCCAACCAGACTCACTCACACATGCTGGTGCCTGCCTGAGTGGATTTGAGTGTAGAATACCCTTACATTTGATGCATGTCTCCCTGTGAATGACAAAACTATCATGAAATTAGTCCGATCCTAATTACAAGAAAAGTTTAAAAGTGTGTAAGATTTTGCATTTAGTAGCACAACATATGTGATTGCCACTACTGCTTCCATGATAGACAGTCCAGTTCCTGCAGATGAAGCAGTGAAGGCTGTCTAGTCCCTGCAGATGAAGCAGTGGTGGTTGTCTAGTTCCTGCAGGTGAAGCAGTGAAGGCTGTCTAGTTCCTGCAGATGAAGCAGTGAAGGCTGTCTAGTTCCTGCAGATGAAGCAGTGAAGGCTGGCTACCTCCTGCAGATGAAGCAGTGAAGGCTGTCTAGTCCCTGCAGATGAAGCAGTGGTGGCTGTCTAGTTCCAGCAGGTGAAGCAATGGTGGTGTCTAGTTACTGCAGATGAAGCAGTGGTGGTTGTCTAGTTTCTGTAGATGAAGCAGTAAAGGCTGTCTAGTTCCTGCAGATGAAGCAGTGAAGGCTGTCTAGTTCCTGCAGATGAAGCAGTGGTGGTTGTCTAGTTACTGCAGATGAAGCAGTAGTGTCTGTCTAGTTCCTGCAGATGAAGCAGTGAAGGCTGTCTACCTCCTGCAGATGAAGCAGTGGTGGTGTCTAGTTACTGCAGTTGAAGCAGTGGTGGTTGTCTAGTTCCTGCAGATGAAGCAGTGGTGGTGTCTAGTTACTGCAGATGAAGCAGTTGGGGTTGTCTAGTTCCTGCAGATGAAGCAGTGAAGGCTGGCTACCTCCTGCAGATGAAGCAGTGGTGGTTGTCTAGTTCCTGCAGATGAAGCAGTGAAGGCTGTCTAGTTACTGCAGATAAAGCAGTGAAGGCTGTCTAGTTCCTGCAGATGAAGCAGTGGTGGTTGTCTAGTTCCTGCAGATGAAGCAGTAAAGGCTGTCTAGTTCCTGCAGATGAAGCAGTGAAGGCTGTCTAGTTCCTGCAGATGAAGCAGTAGTGTCTGTCTAGTTCCTGCAGATGAAGCAGTGGTGGCTGTCTAGTTCCAGCAGGTGAAGCAATGGTGGTTGTCTAGTTCCTGCAGATGAAGCAGTGATGGCTGTCTAGTTTCCTGCAGGTAAAGTAATGGTGGTCGTCTAGTATACATGTAAGTCACATCACAGACTTAAAATATTCATTTCTGGACCAGACAAACCACGGATGTATAATGAAATAATATGTCTGTGGACAAACCAGTGGTTGACAGCATGAACACCAATCCAAGATGACAAACAATCTGTCCAGCAACACACTCTTGCAATACCCGTATTAGCCACCTAGACAAGCATAGGGTACTGAAGATTGAGCTATTATCCCCCTGCAGTACTTGAATGCGCTCATTCACCTATCATTTAGATCATCTTGAGTCATTGTATGAGATGTTTGTCCAGAGATGTACAACCATCCCTGCCCAGATGGTGCGCACTTGACATTAAATAAAATCAATGGATCCAATGCTCTATCAACTTGGGTATGTGGGCTATCTGTGTCTCTGATTACAGGGTTCATAAAGTCTATGTGGTATCGGAGAACCACGGAAATGAGCTGATAGAACTCAGTGTAATGGGCTAAGATTGACTGAACTCATTAATCTAAATTTAAATGTTTGTGCAGTAATACGTTCAAAGGGTTTGAAGCAAGCTACTTGACTGACACCTCATGCTGTTCAGGTGATGAAGCTGCAATGTCGAGGAGCTATTTATTTCAATACAGATATGTTTTTGAAAACCAGATGAGGAAGAGGTGAGGTGAGATGAAATGGGGTTTAACGTCGCGTCCAAGATTATTGCACTTATATAGCGACGTGCATGCACGTGTGTGTGGCTGCTTGTACTAGTCCGGACTGATGCCGATTTATAGTGCTAGCTCACTGAGATACCATGCCGCAGTTTAACATGAATACCCCACTCAGACACAGTATACTGACTCCGAGCCGACCAGTCCTTGTTTAGCCCCTTAATGCCGAGTGCCAGACAGGGTAACAACAGGTACCATCTTTTAACGTCTTTTGTTATGACGCGGCCTGGGATCGAACCCCGGACCTAGATGAGGAAGAAATGGTATTACATGATTTCTGTTGTGATTATTTCCTGACATAGCCGACATGGTTACTTCCAGCTTGACAGCCTGTCTCATTGGCGAGTGATCCTGTGAGGATTCTTGGTAGAATAGATCCCCGTAACCTGCCTTTTCGTAAGAGGTGACTAAATGGATAAGATGGCCAGTCTCAGTGACTTGGTTGAACAATGTGTCGTAGTACTTTAACGGCATAGGACACATGTTCATTATATCAGTCAGTGTTTCTGCTGGACCAGATTTGATTATTTAAAGACCTCTGTGAAATAGCTGGATTAAGTCATGGACCGGGACATCAAATATCTGTACTGTGGAAGGAAGAGGTTTGTTCATTGTCCCTGTACCCTCTGTGGTTGAGTGAATCTGATAATGTCCCAGTTCCAGGATATCGTGGGGGCACGGGTGGCCCAGTTGTCTAAGGCGCCGCGATTCACTGTGCAGAGTTGTGTCCCTTGGGCATGCCAGAAACCTATGATTGTGGGTTCGAATCCCGGTTCGCACCGATTTTGTTTCTAGGTTTGTCAGCACCATACCCATGCTCGTGGGTTTCACCGAAGTGGTAAACGTCTGAGACCTGCATCACTTCAGGCTTTCCTCCTACATTAAGCTGACATGCCGCAATATAACTGGAATACTATTAAAAGCGGTGTTAAACCAAACTCACTCACTCACTCACTCCAGGATATCGTGAAAACAGCAAGACGAAACTTCTAAAGTGTGGACACCGTTTATTGCAGGCAGTAGAAATGAAGGAATGTATGAATGTACATGAATATGTACATTTATACAAATGATTTCAATGTCACTTTATTATGTTTAGTTTTTTTCATTGGTATAATATTGAATAACATAAATATTACCTAAAAAACGTACCTCTAAGATACAACAGCAAGGTATTCATTCTCAGTATGTCCATAGCATCACAACATGATTCAGTTCATTTACTCGAGATGTAGCAACTTGGATACATGATCTGTATACTCCTTTGCCGCGTGAGATGATTCATAAGATTGTCCTTCAGGATGCAGGTTCTGGCATCGATGTTAACGTATCTGCATGTCCCAGGAGGATCTGTCCAGGGTCCATTCAACTTTGTTCTTCTTATTCACGATACTTCTACTTGCCATGATATATGAACATGCTCCCTCTTAGCGACGCGATGAAGGTAACGTGCACCTGGGCAGCTGCATTACTTGTGCAAGTAACTCTTGGCAGATATCTCTACTACTTATACCTTACGCTGTATAGCACTTAATGAAACATAGATTTTTTGCCACAGTGTTATGATAATTAATAGCCTCTTGTTGTGTGTTGACAAAATAAAGCCATTTGCTCACGTGTAACAATAACCCCATTTTAATGGTGTGCGGCACTGTAGTCATCAGATTAAAGTTTCTAAAAACTTTGTGTTTTACTTCTCAGTTAACTTACAAGTTGATCATCCTTACTTAATTGTAACAATAACCCAAGTTAGGCACCTTAGTCCCAGCAGATTAAAGTTTACCAACAAATCTTAGTGCTTTACTCTTAGCTCTTTATCCATAACAAAAAAATTGTTTACTCACAAATTGAACTTCCTACAATCTTACATGTCCGCCATTGCAAGAGTCTGCAATCAAAAGATCCAACTTGCTTCAGTGATTCGAAATATTCGATGTCTCAGTCCCTAGGCGTCAGTTATGGTACAACTGGGTTTTTTTATAATCGGTACCGGTCCAACACCCAGAAATATTCCTGATTGCAACATTAAACAACAAACAAGCAAACTTGTAGGCATACGGACAGTCTTTTAATGTGTTCATGAAAAATATCTCAATGAGAGGCTGGCTTGTAAAACCTCATTGAGTGAGTAAGTTGGGTTTAACCTGCTTCAAACAGTAGTTCAGTTATATCATTGTGTCACATTAAGGTGGAAAGACGTTTACCTGAAACCTTAATCATATCAATATTTCAAATTTTGCCAAATAGTGTTGATTTTATAAGTACATGTAAAACAAAATCAAACAAAACATTTGTTTTTTTTATTTCACTCATGCAAAATAAGGGAGTGTCATCCATTAAGCAATAAATAAACTGGCCTTCCAATGACCTTAAAAAAATATCTGTCTTGAAAGTGAAATCCAAGTTCCCCAAACCGAACAACACCACTCTTAATGTGGGGCATGGGTGGCCCAGTCATCAAAGATGCTGCAATTTGCTGTGCAGTTTGTAAGCATCCTGCCCATGCTTGTGGGATTTCACAAAAAGTGTTAAACGTCTGAGACCTGCATCTCTTCGGGCGTTCAAAATTCCTCCCACATTTAGCTAACACACCATGATAAAAATGGAATACTGTTTAAAGCAGAATTAAATCCCAACTCACTTAAGTCAAAATGTCTGCTGGCCCGAACAGTGACATCAGCAAGAAGTGAGGTGAAAATGGGTCTAACCTCACGTTCAAGATTATTGCACTTGTACATGTGTGTCTGTATGGCTGCGGATTAATGCCAGTTTTATAGTACTAGCCCAGTGAGATACGGTACCATGTTACCACACTCC